TTTCCCCAAGCTTCCTTTCGGAGGAACAGTCATACCCTTCGCGCTGCTGCTGCGCGTATCCTCAAGCCACTGCGAGTGCGCAGACACCTACTAAACCGGTGCTAGTTATCACGATTAAACATCCTAACCAGACAGGTTTCACCAGTGGTCAGCCTTCACCATGCTAGGAGCTGTGCAGACACCCTAAGTGACTACCCTTTCCCGACTTAATTGTCCTGATGATCGAGTCACACAGAGGGTTTAGTCTCAAAAGGTTGCAAATAAAGGCTGTTTAATCACATCCCATCTTATGTACCACAGACTCCCCTACCACCTTGGAGGAATACTTCCCTTGCACAAGGGGTCACTAGTTACCCAAATTCCACAGGATTTCCACGTGTGGGGCCAAAAGAGAATATGGGCTCACAATCACCTCTCTTTAGAATGAATATAGCCAGTTTTGCAGGTTAAACAGTCACCAAAATTCAACACTCAGGTATTATAACAAAAACTAAATATTCTGAAATTTTATTAGCATATGGCTACAAAAAAGCCTCCTTCCTATGAGACCATAGAGAAGACAAAGGAGTCTCACGCAGATTCAACATCAGAGAACCACAGAGAGAGACTAAAACATTAGTCTCCTCTAATCTGCGCAGTTACAGTCTGGAGATGCCAGTGGGCTTCTGCACAATCTGAGAGAAGAAAATGGTCAAGAGGGCTAGCTTTATTCCTGGACATGGGTTTTTTTTTTCCCCCCAGGTTTAAGATTCCCTTAATGCTCTTTCAACATAGATTTTGGCAGCTTATTGTTTAAAGATTGAGCAGCACTGAAAAACACATTCATTACTGCTTGTCATAGAGATGTTGATGAATTCCAGTCACATGCAATTAAGCTGTAATTCAACACAATGACAGACTAAACAGGCAAGTCTAGACAAATAAGAAAAAACCAACTAAAAATACAATTCCTAGATAAAAATTCCTAGAATATTCCATAATCTTTCTATTGAAAAAAGAGGTACATTATCTTATACTATTTATTATATGAAAGCAGACAGTTTGCTTTATTTGAATTCATGCAATGCTATCAAGACATAATGTTTAAATAAGACCGTGAGAAACACTGAACCTCAGAATATTTTTGCAAAGAATCTTTTTTACTGAAGTTTTAAAGTAAAACACATGCATGTTAGAATAGAGGTGCACTGACCATTATACTCCTTAAAGATAAATTTTGCTAGTTTCACTTATCAGAATACTCCCATTGTAAAAAGGGGCAACTGGTGTCACTAAGAAGCTGAATTTGCCTCGCAACATTTAAACTTAAGCTTAAAGATACATATTTTAGGTTTGAGCTTACTTCCAAGTAATTCAGGAGCTACATGCCTTGGCCCTAAACATTCACTCTGAGTGTTCTTGTATTGCTTCTGCTATTCTTCAAACCAAGGGAAAAATTAAAGGTCTTTTTTTCCCCTAAATCTGGCAATGTTTATGCCATCTCTCTCCATATCCATAGAGAGAGAGTCTGCTGTAACTTACACCGGGAGCGGAAGAATTATTTACACAAGACATTTTGGTACGTTATTCAGGACCATCAGGTCAATACCATCACGCTAAGACAACATCAAGATCTTTGTCAATGGTGTATACTCATTGACCCTAGGAATACGATGTAGTATTATGATACAACATTTCATAACCCTCTTCTCCATACTTCAGCAGTGTTTGTAAGGCCAGAATTTATAATCTTAGTCAATATGCACATATCAACAATGATTCACCAGTGAAAACAACCTATACTACTTCAAGAAGGCTATGTATTTTTTTTAGCTGAAAGTCAAGATTAATTTCACATATGCTCACTCAGCATTTGCTTAATGAGGCATTAAAAACTTTCCAAATATTTGATTCCCATGAAACCAGAACAAAAAACAAATTTTACACTTCACAAAATTATTTTTTAGTGGTTATGAATCCTCTAAAGAGAGGTCAGGCTTGGGGAGGAGGGTTAGAAGGGAGGGGAAAGCAGCCTCATGAACCTTGGAAAATTATAATTTCCTTATAAAAGGCAAGGAAAGGTCTTGTGGTCACAGTAGACCATCCACTCCTCAGCTTTTCATACCAAGAGATGGCTCTGGCTTTTCGCTCAGGAGAAACATGGGGCTTCAGCCATATTCACACAAAAGTAGTGATACCAGTTCTGGCTCTACCAACCCTATAAAGATACCTTCTAGGGGGAAGACTCTCCTTTCAGCAAAGGAGGAAGGCAGACCCACATTCACTTGTGGATGTAAATCCTCCTGTTCCACATACCAAGACAGCAGAGGGAGGGACTCTGTTTCCTGCTTCCCTCTGTCATCCCAAGGAGTAGAAAGACTCTCCAAATAGATACTGGAGGGCCTGAGCTCCCAGAGGACTGTGGCCTCTTCTCCCACACAGCTCTGAAAAATCATAATGGCCCAACTGATCTTGAGGTGACAACCCTCTGCTCTTTGGGACTTCCATGGATAAGGGCAGCAAGGGGCTTTGCGCTAGCACACAGGCACAAGTTTTCTACTGCATTCCTCCAGAGTCATTGTACATCTTCAAATATCTGTGCATTTTGAGGGACTGAACAGCCTGTTCACCCAAAGGCTATGGGATGCAATTTTGCCTGAAGTAGATGGATCAAGATAGTGGATCTGCTGAAGAAAGCCTGCAATAAAATTCCTGAATTTCACAGACAAATGCTTGCTTAGGTTTTCCCGTAACTGCCCCTTAACCAAGGGACGAACATGGCAGGGAATTATTAAGGGGCTAATTAGTTATCACTGACACTTCAATTCCTGACCCAAAGGTCACTGTGATAGTTTTCAAGTGACTCTTGGCTGTGAGCTGGTAAGGCTGGTCCTAAGTGGTACATTTCCACCTCAACCACCATTGCTTAATAGCCACAAACTGCTATGAGCCTGGGGCACGGAGGACAACTCTTACCTCTTGGAGGACACCTAGCAAAGTGAAAATGAAGGAATATTGTGTGTGCACTCTACCTACCACAATAAGGAACAGCTTCGGTCTCCAGTACTGTTAGATTGTTATCACACAAACTGTTCAGTCAGAAAACAAGTTTCACCTAACCTCAGTGGGGCCCTAATGCTAACATCTACTGCCAAAGTAATCATAGCAATATACGTGAAGCTAAACTAAAAGTCTGATTATTTTAAAATGGTTGAGACATTTCCTTTTGTCAGAAAGTTAAAACAAATGATAATTTTAGAGTAAAATGTATTCATTGTAAAGAATTACAAATGAAAATGGGCCCTGTAAGACCTGTGCGTCTTTATTTATTTACTCTTAAAATAACAACAAAAACCCAGGACAAAACTTTGACAAACATTTCTAAGAACTAAAGAAAACTCACCTCGAACTTCAGGAGAGAATCGAGCTGAATGGCGAGACACAAAAAGTTTCAGTTCTTGATCCAAGTTGCATTCAATCAAGTTTGTGTCCCATGATCGGATTCCTAAAATTCAAAATACAAAACATATTTAACTTGATATATGAGCACTGGAAGTTTTTACTGAGTATTTCTAGATTTACATTCATGCTATTTACATGTTTCTAAGTTCCAAAACCAGCCTCTTGTCCTATTGTGGTAGACACACAGCTATTTTTCTCCAGAGTTTTAAGTGCTCAGAAGAAGCACTTTGGACAGGGATCAGTCAAAAGCAAGAGGAAACTAGTTTTGTCCAGAAGGTAATTGAGCACCTACTTCAGGATGGCTGGTTCCACATCCTAGTAGCCAGATTTATGAGAAGTTGTTGATACCCTTAAATTGACTTTAAAATAGCAATACACTGATTTACTTATCGATATCTACAAAACTGAGGAAAATGAATAACTTGAGGGATACTCTAGCCACATTGCAAGACAACTGTATTTGTTCCTCTGGTAAATAAAAAATAAATCAGCATCATCTAGCATGTTGCAAATTAATATTTAAACATAAAGAATTAAATTGCTGTCTTCATTCAAAAACTTTGAAGCATCTCATATTTTAAATTAAAATTGAAGTGATCTTTTATTTATGAAGTATCAAAAGTCTAGTTTTCTTTGAGATTTAAAAGCACTATGCTTGATCTTTCTTCTTTTAAAGAATAAACTTCGCAACTTTACTCCCTACACTTTTTCCTCCCAGCTATTTAGACAGCGAGACACTTGACACACATATGATCATAAACTGTATGATTTTTAAGGACTGAAATCTGACTGGAAAAAGATTCATGGTAGAGAAAAAAGTTTCCTAGCATAAGAATTTGATGACTAAATAAAAAAAGCAGGTGAACATGTTTTGAGATTTCTCTATAATTTTCTTGATTAGCTTTGAAAAATAATGATCAGGCAGCTGCAGTACAGGTAAGTCCAGGCACTGCTGCCATTTTGAACACCAACATCAGTGATGCTGATTTTTTCCCGAAGGGAAGGTCAGTGGACATATCCAAATTAGCTGGCCACATGCAGAAGGGACCATAGGTGAAGAAGCTTCTAGTGGCCCCTTCCCACATGCCTGACCATGTCTTTGCATGAAACTGTTGAGTTAAATCACTGTTGGGTTTGGTAGATTTGGGACAGTGAAGAAGCTTGAAGTGCATAGCCAAACCCTTTCCACAAGACTTGCACTACCTCTGCTAGTAACTCTTTCAGGATTTGGGGCTAACTCACTATCATTTCAGTGCTACCTCCGTCTTGATTCCCTTTCAAGAAAGCAGAAGTATGACGCTTCGCCCAGAAGAAGCCACTCTCCAGAGTTGAAGGTGATGAGGGGAAGAAGAGGGGGAAGAGCAGGAAGACCAGACCTATGCTGCTGGTCACCCACTGCAGATCTTGGTAGTTTCTCCATGCAGATGTGAAGATCTGTATTTCAAGAGCCTAAAACCTTTTTGAAGGGAATTCATCCAGTGCTTTTCCTTGCCAGTGTTCCAGTCATGGTGTGAACATACTTCCTCCTGGGATATGCTATCAGCTGTTAAGTAGTTGACATTTTAAACTGTAAGTAAGTTTGGAAATATAGTATTGCCAGTATGTTTCATAACCACTAAAAAGAAAAAAATATATATAATATATCTGAACTATAGTCAGCCACCTCCACTTCCTGACTTATGCATCATTGTTCAGAGACATAAGCAGTAAGTCTCTTCTGTAAGTCTCCTTATTTTCATTTCTCAAAAATCTCTTGGCCATATGGTGCATTTTTGGGGCGTAGTTTTGGCAGACAAATACAACTCAGCAGGCTTTAATGTCTTCCAGGTGTTGGAATATTTGAGAGCAAGAAAGTAAAGATAATGTAATACCATGCATGTAGAGCACATATGAAAACCAGGACCTGCATATTCGTCTTGAAGCAGAGTTACATTGAATAAAATGAGCGCTGAACTTCAAGCAGCTAGAAGATAACAGTTCACTGGTCTCTGACAGTAAGCTCGTGCAGGGAGACAAAAAAGCTTTCTGGAGGCGAGTTAAACAATGTCGACTATGATTCAGCAGTGTTGCTAATGATAGGTCTGATCCACCATCCCTAGCTGCTTTTGTTGTGAATCAAATTCATGACAGGGATAAGATCGTGATTAAGCATAGTCAGACTGCTGAGCCAGTCAATGTCCAAAATACAGGACTCAAAGGGCATGAGAAAGGAGGCGGCGGCAAGGGGAGAGCCTGGACGTACCATATGCATAGTAGTCCTAGAAGCTCAAATTGAGGTTTGAATAAAATATCCCAAATTTGCAGCTAGATGATTCAGCATTCTGGATGCAAGAGTTATGCAAATAATTCAGCTGGTTTTGGATAGAACAAAGGTAAACCTGGAACTACAATCCAAGGTCAATCCAGTGATGTATGTCTTTAGCAGCATGGAAGTAACTAGAGGAGATATGACTGAACTGGAGCTATTTCTTTCTGCAGCCTTAGGAGTGCAATGCCGCTAGACACAGGACTGGACAGCAAACAGGGCACACCCAGTAGCATCTGCTAAACCAGCAGAAAGATCTTGAAGCTTTCTCTTCACTCTCCCCCTCTTTTTTTGGTGGATGGTAGGGTAGAGGATTGCCCCATTAGGGAAATGGCTTCTCAAATTTAATTACTGAAAAAGCAGTTTGCCAAGCCATTCCCTCTTCATGATGATTTAAGAAATGACACTGCACTCCGCCAAGTTGCGTAGCATCACACCACTGATGTGTTATCAGCAGATGTTGTTTTCTGTGGCACGTTGGTCTGCAGTTCTGCGCATGAATCCAGTTTTCAGTGATGATGCTTAGGAGGCACACCAGAGAAGACATTGAGGCAAAGTTATTGAGAACCCTAAACACATTTAAGGCCCTGTTGAGAAATAGGGTTTAAAGAAGCCAGTTCTTCCAGACTGCAGCATGCTTTCCAAAGAGAAGAAGATTAGTCAAGCCCATCTTTGCCTCACACATATACAGCTTCAGACTCACAATGTACTCATCCAGAACAATGCACCTCTAAATCTGATCAAGGTCTTTTTTTCCCCTAGCAGGTAAAATCCCAGTCAGATGATCTGACACCAGAAGCAGTGAGTTGACTTCTAATCCAAAATGATGAATAAACAGGCCAAAGCATTCCCTCTGAATACCTAATGCAGGGAGCGGTGTTATGCTTTGTGACTGGAGGTAGCAGCAGCAGAGCTATGCAGTAGGGACTGTACAATAGAAGCTTCAAGAAGAGGGTGAGGAGCATTTCTTCAGAGGAAGGATGACATCAGATGTCTCGAGGGCAGAAGTTTTATCCATTTGCTATATATTAAATAGTTCAACTAAAACAGAGCCCGTTCTGTTCTGACGCAATCGAAAACTAGGTAAAAACTGGCAAAGTGCAATGCTGAAGAGGCTCTGAATGACAAAGCATCTGCCTCAGTCGTTGTCCGTGGGAGACAATGGTAGCAAGAAAGATGAACAGGTCACGATGAAGCTGCTTAGCTGTGATGAGGCAGCCCTTTACCAGAAATAAGTCACGAAAAAGAATTAAGAGAGAGAGCCAGCTAAAGCAGCGATGGTTGAGAAAACAACAATAGAGACAAATGAAGTCCTAGCTGGGCTGCTGAACCACACCTACAAGGCAAGGCTGTTACCAGTTCCCGTCTCAGGCTCTCTTTCTCCTCTTTAACAATGGCAGTTTTCTGATTTCTCAGCTCTTATCAGCTCAGAAGAAAATATACCTTACAAAGCCATGTATCAGTCGAGTTTAGCGAACTATATGGTCCAACAATCATTTTCTTTGTGCATCATGCCACTATTATGGCATCAGGGCTTTTCTCTTCTCCTCTCCATATACACTGCAGTCTTTTATTAGAAACCGTTATCAAGGACTTGTAAAACTATGCCATTTCACTTGTGATACCTTCTCGCATCGTCTTCTTCAAGAAGAGACGAATAAACAATGAGTCATGGCAGCCCACAGCTGCACAATGATGAGCCTGAACACTCAGATATCAGTCTTATTACTTGTTTTTATTTGAAGCGGTGCATATAAGGCTTACGCCCTGAAAAAAAATTCTCTAGCCAAGGAGAGGTCTCATTGCCCCAAGTTGGGCACAATAGGCACAGCAGCATTCCCGCTCGGGGAGGCTTCGCCGTTTGGAGCAAAAACGCCCCAAACCCCGCTGGTTCGGTTTTGCGGGGAAAATTAAAAAAAAAAAAAAAGAAGCTTCCAATCTTCCCATGGCACTTCTCCTTTACACCTAGACTGTGGGCTGTTTCTCACTTATTTCTATTCAGAATACCACCATTTCAAAAAGTCATACTACAGCACTGGCACAGAAACTGCTGTTCTTGGAAAACTGTGTATATTTTCAGACAACTTTTTATCGAAAAGTACTAAAGACAGATTTAATGGGGCATAAAATACATCAATCTTGATTGTAGCTCAAAGTAAAGTCAATATATGCTTTCAGGAAAGCATTCTCTGTTTTATTTTTTGTGGCTCTCTTTCAAGTCTAGAAGGTATCCTTGCAGCAAAACGGGGGACATCATCATCATTAGAAGGAGCTGCTCTACTACATCCTGCGCATCATGCACAACAGACCAACAACTTAGGAAGATTTCCCCAAAAGATGTTTATGGCAAGTCGTTATTACAAGTGGTTCCACTGCTGTGAAAGAAAAACGCTCTCTCCCCTGTTTTTGCTGCACCGAGGAACCCAGTAGCCCTTTGAAGACCCAACACTTGGCGATCTATTAGCTGGGTTCAGACCTTCTGTGAAAGTCATGGCTGGACCCACGAGACAGTAGCATTTGGGGGGGGGGGGGGGCTTCAGGTCCTCAT